TTGTAATGTGTTCCTGTCTCCTTGAACATGTTTTTGCTCTTTTGCTGGTTGGTTTCAATAAAGATATTTAACTCTCTAGAGTTGTTTTAGCTATTCACAGTTCCTGGACAGGTAAGGCAGCTGGCTTTTTCTAAGAGACAGATTCTGTTCTACATGTTAGGCACATAGGGACTTAGGTGCCTAAGTGGAATTCTGTTCCATCCTGATCAAGTCTCTGAAAAATGGTCAATGCAAAAAAATAGTGGGTCCTTCTCCTCGTTGTTGTATGTATTTAAAATCAGTTTTAAGGTAAGAAGTCTATATGTTATAAAATAGATGCATTAATGGACTTCCATAGACTTGAAGAAGGTGAAGTCCTTTTAGAAGCCTAAGAAATGGAATCAGAATCTGCCCCTAAGTTTCTGAAAGTTTCTTAGTTCCTTCCTTTTGTGGAAGGAAAGACATTTTTACATATTCCAGGTTGCATTTTCAAGTGTTTTTTCTCTTTGGATAACATCTTAATTATGGTCAGGATAGCTTGCAGAGAGGAGAAAAATGAACTCAATAATTCTTCCTTATGTTTTGATCTTATTTTCTTTCAAAAACAGAATGGTCCTTTGCCTTTTATTTCAGTCATTCCAGAAACTGATAGGATTTCTCGTTAATACATATGCTGTATTGTTTTACCTATGTTATATCATGCACATTTTTGCGGAAGAAGCTTCTCTCCCTCAATTGCAAAAGGATTCTGAAGTTTTATATATCTTGTATGCTTTTAACAAAGGTCCCAGGGTCTGTTCATTATCTAAAGAATCAATCTGGGAGAGGAAGTTGTGGACCCTTAGCTGGGCCTTGTCTGTAATGTTTAATTACTATGTCCACAATCCCAAACTTTTTTACACTCCCAGAATTCTCCATTCATAATACCTCATTATGCCACATTCTTCATTCACCAAGATCAATATGTCATGATAACATTTAAATTGCTTCTTACATCCAACTTCTGCTATCATTTATGTTTAAATTCACATAATCAGGTTTATAACGTGAACTGAGATGCAGCTTTTATTTTTGAGTGGTTAATGTCACTACATAATATATCCATAGGCTGTGATCACATCTATGTGTCAGTTTAAAGATTGGTTATCCTACAACATCTTTCTATAGAAACCTAGGTCCAACATTTGGACTTGTTTCGGTAAAAGAAATTCTAACTGCTAACTTTTTGAGTTTAAAAGCTCCAGCATAAATACTAATTGCATACTTAATCATTATGTATGATCAAACTATGGTTGTAAAAAATGAAACATATTCAGAAGCAGTCCTGAATATTCTAAAACACAACTAGCATTTCCCATGTCAGACCAATTTTGTTATCAAGTCCTCCACATTTCTGAAATGATGGCACGCTGCACGCAACATACTTCCAGCGTGGTGTGAATAGACTCCTCGCTTACCCAGCGTATGCAAAAAAGGACATACATGCAAAGAGAGAAAGCAAGCTAATTTCATATCATTGATAACAGTGTGACTGCTGAGTAACACAACAAGCTAGAGCAACAAGTCAATTGTATGTTGTCATTGGGAACATGTGAAAATACCTTTTTAATTCTCTCTCATCTTCCCAGCACCATGTTGTTATTTACAGCACCAAAGATTCACTCTATAATTCAGTGTGTCACTGGAGGGACTTTGTGGGAAGAAAGGGTTCTGAAGGAAGAGACACATACTGTAGGTTGGCATTCTCCTGAATATAGCTCCCAGTTGAACAGTGTGACATTGGCCTTTTTCCACTTCACAGAGAAGTCATTTCCTTGTAATTATTTTTAAGTTAGCATATTGCATTTTAAATAATTTTTAGCAAGTTTTACATGCTGTTAGTGAGAACTAGTGTTTGGAATGTGGTTTGTTTGTCATCAGGAAAAAGAAATCAAGTGACACCCAGAAATAAGTTAAGCTGATGATTAGCAAAGTATAATTTATATTAAAAAGTTAAAAGTGAAACTTGAAGGCTGATACTGGTTAGGCAATTCAAGGATTTAAACTTCAAATGACCAGTTAGAATATGACCCAGGCAGGTTGTAACTGAAAGTTGCTACCATCTGACAGCTCTCAGTGGCCTGTGTGAAATGTTGTTGATCTTAGTCCAGCTTCTAGTGCATAGTCAGTGATCCCCATAAGCCCAGATTGAATCATATTCACCAAAGAATGCAGGGAAAAGTTGTACTGCCACTCTGTGTTGTCCTGGTTTATGATTAAGCAAAAGGTTTTTATTGTTTTACTGGGTCTCAGGCACCTTCAGAAGCATTAATTCACTTTCACATACCTACTGTTAGAGTGTTTCTGTTGTAGTGAATCTGTAGCCAAACTTAATTATTCTTTTGTAAGTGTCTGTACATGGCCCATGTGTTGTGTTTGACTATTTTGATCAGCTTTTTGAATCTATACGTTTTAAAATTCCCCACATTCTTTCACTTGATTTTTATTTACTATTACACTTGTATGCACACGGAGGTGTAAC